TCCTCCCTCTTGCGTCTCCCTCCCTCCCACCCTCCCTATCCCACCCCTCTAGGAGGTCACAAAGCACCGAGCTCATCTCCCCCGTGCTATGCGGCTGCTTCCCACTAGCTATCTATTTTACGTTTGGTAGTGTATATATGACGGGAATAAAGACACAGACCTACTAGAGAATGGACTTGAGGATATGGGGGCGGGGGAAGGGTAAGCTGTGACAAAGTGAGAGAGTGGCATGGACATATATACACTGTCCAGGGCTTTTGAACTCAGCCTAGACCAGCCACCTCCCAGTGGCCAGGGCGTCAGGGGTGTGAGGCATCCCCTGGAGTGGGGCAGGTGGGAGCCCTCAGCCAGCGCACCTGTGCTGTCAGGGGAGGGGCACAGCAACGGAACAGAGAAAGGGGACCAGGACACACCAGCAGTGTCTGCCACTCTCCCTCTGACAGCACCCTCTTCCAAACACCTCCCGCCTGGGTCCCGGAGGTAGCATCTAACTTGTCTTCCCAATTCTACCCTCATGGTTCTCCATTCTCCACGCAGCACCCAGAACTATCTCTTGCCTTGAGTTTAATCTGGGCACTGGGCGGGGAACCTTCCGCAGTTCTCCCATTGTACTTCGATAGAAGCCCGAACTCCTCGCCCCGCCCTACAAGGAGCCCAGTGGCCTGGCCCCGCCCAGATCTTCACTCCAACCTGCACCGCCTTCCCCAGTGGCCTTCCCGGGGCTCTGACTCCCCAGCCGCTGCGTCGGCTCAGAGCCTCTGCACAACTGTGGCTCTTCCTGCAGAATTTGTTCTCCAGCTGTCCTTGCATGCGGGCTGGGGGAGTGACGTGAGTCACAGTGAGGGACGGAGGGGGAGAGAGAGAGTGAGAGAGAGAGAGAGGGAAGGAGGAAACTAAGGAGGGGGACAGGGAAGGAGAAAGGAAGGGAAGAGTGAGGAAATGAGACGGAGAGAATGAATGAGTGAGTGAACAAAAGCATTTGTATTCTAGAGAAAAATTAAATCTGTCTTAGGAGGCAAGAGTCATTGCTGTGAGGTTGGGTATTGGAAAAAACCCCAATTATTTCTGCACATAAACAGGCATAATATATTAAATATATATTTAAAAATAATATATAAAATATATTAAAAATATTTATAAAAATATTTGCCGAGGCGGCAACCAATGAAAATGGACATTAGTAGAGGTTTAGAGCAGATCTCAAGGTCCCCGCACTGGGCCCAGTGTTAACCCATAACGGGGAAGCAAGATGGAAAGGGGCAGAGGTAGTGCCGGGAGAGAGACAAGCAAAGCCTAGGGAGGTTTGAGACCACAGCTGTTTGGAGGTTTGAGACCACAGCTGTTTTCCGAATGATCCAGAAGTATCCAGTATTTCAGGAACCAGTGCCGCTGTACTGATGTGCCTTGGTGTGAATATGTCCCCTGAATAGAGGCTTTTTAACAAATTTGAGTTCATACCATATATAACTTGGTGCCCTACTTTTTTCAGTTTAACGGTATATTGTGTGCAGTTTTCCATGGTGGACACTTTTTGGGTTCAGCCCTTTGCTTCCAAAAAGGATTTCAGGCAATTTCATTTTGAATCAGAGTGTTGAGGGGCACTTACTTCAGGCCACAGAAAATTCTTTTGAACGACCTCCTTCCTAATGGTGCGTCTAGTCCCCTTTATAAGTCGCTGGTCATTGGACATGGTAAACAACTGTCAATAAATGAAGGAAGAGGTAGATACTAAGTGCAGTCAAAACACCAAGGGCGGGGAGAGACGGTAACTTACGTTTTAAAATTGCAGTTACTGGGGTAACTGAAAACAACATTAAAAAAAAAAAAAGCCAGCACTGGCAGAGAAGCAGCTCCCTGGAGATCTGTCTCACTGTGTTTCATCTGTTCTACTCACAGAAGGGCAGTATCGTTCGGTTTTTCGGATTGAATTTTACATAGATCCTGGGAGGATTAAAGATAATGAACGACATATTTCCTGGCAATTAAGCGAAGTGGCTGGTCTAGGTAAAAACGCCCCTCCGCTCGTAAGAAATCCTTCTTATTTGAACTCATATTTGAGTTTATTAGGATAAGAACATTACTTATTCAGTCAGCTATAAAGTACTATTTTTATTGCTGTAAAACATGACCAAGACACAAAACTAAAATAATTCATTATTGTTCTTGCAAATCATTTCAGTTCTTCAATTTTTCATTGCATTTTCCCCCTTTCTTCCTTTTTCAGTCATTCACTTAATTCATGTATTCATGGTTTTCACAATTTTTTCAAGTTTTTGAGGACAAGCATGTTAGTTATTCTGTACCATCAAATAATATTTTCATTTTAGAACACATCAAACCTTTATTTTTAAGAATTTTAAGTTTGAGAAAAGCATATTTTGCTATTATTAAAGAAAAAGCTAAATTCCCTTTTAATACTAATAATTAGAGATTTATATTTTCACTAGGAGATTACAAAGTTTTAAAGTTTTCTACTATATTTAATGTGTTCTAGTCAAGTCTCTCTCCACTGTCTTTTTTCTTTCTTTCTTTCTTTTTTTTTTGTAGAAACACCATAAAGGAAAATGTAACTGAGCGATCTGTGCCTCACCTTTGAAATTCATGAACTCCTAGGAAAACAGATCCACTTCTGCCCTAAATGTTGATGCAGTACTGTTAAGAATGGAAGATTCCAGGGCTTCCCTGGTGGTGCAGTGGTTAAGAATCCTCCTGCCAATGCAGGGGACACGACACACACAGTTCGAGCCCTGGTCCGAGAAGATCCGACGTGCTGTGAAGCAACTAAGCCCGTGAGCCACAACTACTGAGCTCACGTGCCACAACTACTGAAGCCCCGACACCTAGAGCCCACGCTCTGCAACAAGACAAGCCACTGCAGTGAGAAGCCCACGTACCGCAACGAAGAGTAGCCTCTACTCGCCACAACTAGAGAAAGACTGTGCACAGCAACGAAGACCCAACACAGCCAAAAATAAATAAATAAATCAAAAAAAAAAAAAAAAAAAGAATGGAAGATTCCAGAGGGAACTTCAGACTCCGGGGCACTAGGGTTTCCTTCTGAAGACCTGGGCCCTGTATCTGACTTGTCTGCAGGATTTCTCAGAGATGGGCTCATCCCAATTCCTGTCCAAAGGTGGTCAGTTGTCAGAAAGGAACCTCTGAAAACCTACCACCTGCTGAGCTGAAGTGTGCATCTCACGAAAGTCAATATTTTCAGCTTCCCTTTGTCCTGAATGTGTATAAAGGGCTTTCAAGTATTTATCCCTTTTATTGTGAGTATTGGCAGAGAAAAATGGCTTTCATCTTTGATCCTTTTGCAGAGAGCAAAAATGTAGAAGCATGGATAACTTATTTTAGACTTCACTAGATCCTTTCTTTAGGTTATTTTATTAAAAACCCCAAATAGAAATGCAATGACAAAAAATAAAACTACACTATATTAGTGCCAAGGTCACATTTCTTTGAACCCAGTAGTTTAATTAACTTTGTTCTTAATGATGAGGTGTACATCAACTTAGCTTAGGTGATAGAGTCTCCTGATGTGAAGAGGTAGTCAATCAAATCAGAAGAGGGTAACTAAAACCTTGGAACTTGAAACTACGGATAAGGGGGGACTTCTGTACACTGTATTTTAACCTCATGAGACTATTATTATTGTTTTATACAATCCATTTTTGTTATTGTCATTTAGACAAAGTGCATTTAGATTTACCCATATTTTAACACTTTTTGTTATTTGTTATTCCTTCTTGAGCTGAGTTCACGCTCCCAAGTAGACTGCGTCCCCCATTTCCTCAGAGTAGAGTTTATTAGGTCAACAATTTGTGATAGTGATATAGTTATTGACCAGAGATTTGAGTCCGGGAAGTGGGGTTTGGCAGCTGTATATACTCAAGGCGATTCTTTAGAACCACAGTGGGCTCGTTGGATCCTGTTAACAGCTGGTATAACAACTAGGGATGAATGAACGAATGAATGAGTGAAAGATGAGCAGTCGATATTCTTGTACACATACCCTGCCACTGGATGTAGTAGAAAGAACTAAACTTGTATAGTTTCCAGTTCCAACCAACATCATCTGTTACTAGCTGTTTGTTGCCTTGGACTAGGCAGGTAACCTCTCTTGAACCTGATTACTTATGGTATAAATTGTATAATATTGCTTACTTTCTACCTAACAGGGCCCATTGTAAGCATCAAATGACACAAAGTATAGAGAAAGCTTTTTTAATTGTAAAGGGGGGGTGGGCAAAGGAGAAGTCCACTGTTAGTCTCCAGGTTACAATAATAAATGCCTATAAAAATAACAGTTTTAGTGAGAATCCAGGAGGAAACACATATAAGTGCTATATAATAACACTCACCTCATAGGGAGGATTAACTTTGATAATACATCTAAACTTGGATCATACATCACTTACATGATAAGTGCTCGCTCAACATTAGTTATCTCTACTATTATTACTGCTTTTTTATGAGAAAATGAAGCTTGGAGAGTGTTAGTAACTCATCAACATCTCATAGCTAGTTAGTGGCTGATATTAGCCTCCAAACTCCAAGTCCAGTCTGATTTCAAAATGAAGCCTGTTCTTCTAACCATTTGGTTATAAGGGAATCCCTTTAAGATTACTGTTTTCTTTAAGCTTGGGAATAGACTATATCCTACATGATAGAACACAAAGATGGTACTCAGGTCATTGAAAATGAAACTTTTTACACTACATACGGCATGAGTCCTTTAACTAGTTCGGTGTTTCAGGGAGATTAAACAGAGAACTTATCGACAGGTGGGCAAGACCTTCCCCTTCCTAAACGTCACCGCCAGGAAGCTGGGGGCTGGGACAGTCTCCCCGCGGGGCGCATGCGCGCAGCCCTCGGGGGGCGGGGCTTGCAGGGGAGCGGGCGGGAGGTTTGAAACCCGGAGGCAGAGCGGCAGGCGGCTGGGCTGCTCCTGAGAGTCGGGCTCGCCCACTCCCGCCAGGATTTATCCGCTCCGGGATTTGCGGGCCGCAGAGGTCGAGGAGGCGGCCAGGCAACAGGGACCCCCCCCCGGCGGGAATCGAAGATCCGGGGCCCCGTGCGGATATCGGGGGCTCGGGGTCCCCGCGCGTGGCCTGACCCGCAGTGTAGACCTGCGGGGGATGCGAGTCTGGGCGAGAAGAGCCTGTCTCCACTTCTCGCGAGGGTGGACCTTATTTCCCCCACCGCGGCCTTCCATCGGCGGTTTAGAAAACGCGGAGCAACGGATTTCCGCGCAGCAGGAGCTGAGCGGCGCGCGCCCGCGCTGCGCATGCTCAGTGCCGCCGCTCCGTCAGGCTCGCGGCTCAGCAGCGGCGAGCTCCCCGCCGCCCCTCATGGCGGCCCCCGAAACCCTCGGGGGCCCCGTCCTGAAAGGTGAGCGGGTGGGGGTCGAGCCGGCCTAAGGAGGGGTACCGGAGTCGGGAGGCGCTGGGACCGGGCTCGCGGGACGCGCGGGGCCCGCAACCCGGCCCTCCCGGAAGTCGGCCCGGGGGCTGGGGGGCTCTCCCCGGCCTCGGCGCCGGGACCACCCGTGTGGGGTGGGGTGTGTCTCCGAGGCCAGTGCCGGGGTCGCCCCACATGGGTTCGGTCCGGTGGGGCCGGCGGTGCGGACGCGCGGCGGGGTGGGAGACGTGGGTGGATTTGATTTTCACTGTTTTCTGGGTTCCGGCGTCTTTGGCCAGGTGGGTTTGGGGGGAGGGCAGTAGTGATATCGGGGGGAGAAAGGGTAGCGCCCCTCGCGTGCATCTGTCAGTGTTGGCGTCTCGGCCGCTGAGTGAGCAGTCACCGCCTCCAGGCACACCTGGAGAGCATCAGGGTCGGAGCGGCGCGAGTCAACTACGCTCCCTGCCCCTTGGATCCTGCCTGCTGCTTGTTTTATGTAGGGCTTGCCAGTGAAGAACGCTTTTTTGCCTTTTTTACATGGCTGGGGGCGGGGGAGCAGAAGACGGGAGGACAGATGAAAATTATATCAAACCCAGACTGCCTTGTTCATAAAGTTTTGTTGGAACACAGCTATGCTTGCCCATTAATGTGTTGTCTTTGGCTGCTTTTGTGCGACAGCCATGAAGTTGAGTGGCTATATGGCCCTCAGAGCCTCAGGTGTTTGCTCTCTGGTTCTTTACAGAAAACAGGCTCTTACACTAGAAGAAGTTAGGCTTTGGTTTTAGGAATTTGGGAAGACCATCCAGTTGAGAATGTAAACGGTGACGTGTGTATGGGTAAAGTTGTTTTCCCCTTGAAATTTTAAAAACTCTAATAGCACTAATATTATTTTGAATAGGCTTTTAACAGAAGAAATGTAAAACTTACATTTGAATGTAAATAGAACAAGAGAAAAATATCGAAATCCTTGGGCGAGGTATGCTGGAATATCAGATATATTTCACACTAGTATCTGTTTATTTTCAGATGTTGTGGCGTATGTAGAAGTGTGGTCAGCCAGTGGAACAGAAAATTATTCAAAGACATTTACAAATCAACTTGCGGACATGGGGGCAAAGGTAGGAAATTCATTTTACCAGTGCCGCATCTGACAGCCCTCTGAAACATACGGAGATCTACTTGCATTTTCTTATTTTGAGAGTTTTGACTTAGAACATGAAGGACAAAGAAGACAGTGGGCAAATGGCAGGAGGAGGAAGAAAGCCATGGTATGAAGAATTGAGAACAGTTGGGCTTGTACGTGATGGGAGAGGAGAGCTTGAGGATAAAAATATTGGTCCTGCCATTGGCTGCCTGATGCTGTTGGTGAAAGTGCGGGATACAGGAAAAGGAACTGCTCTTTACCCCAAATCGTTGTGGATTTGGGGTATACTGGAAGTATCTGATAGACATTTGGATGTACAGATCCGGAGCTTGAGATTTTCAGGGCTAGAGATAGTGGTTTAGGCGTCAAGGCCTTAAGGGTCAGGTGAAGCCACTGGTGTGGTGACGACCCAGGTGGTTAGCATGAAAAGTGCTGCAGATGGAGCCTGTTTAGTATTTCAAGGGCTGGCAGTGGGAGCCATGGAACCAGGCGGAGAAGGATGCCAGGAGAATCCAGAAAACAAGCCTGGAAGTTGGAGGAGGGACGGGCTTCAAAGATGGAATTTTAAAACACTATAGAACCTTAAGAAAAGTTAAGATTGGGAAGTATTCAGGCTTGAGAACTGTTAAGGTCAGTGTTGGGCGTATCGCAGTTTTCAGGGAACTGGGTGAAGCGGGTGGAAATTAGCCCGGGAATCATGGAGACCCGAGGAATGGAGATGGTGAAGGCAGACGCTCTCTGAGTGAGTTCAGCTGTGAACAGAGTTTATTTGTGTGTGTGTGTGTGTGGACGTTGGGATTTGGGGGAGGGTGGCCGATAGGCTGGCGAAGGGGGAGATTAATATGGTAGCAGGGCAGGGATTAGGGTGAAGCAAGGACATCAGGGAAACTGCAAGGCGGCATTCACCGTCAGGCAGAGCGTGTGTGCTCCCGAATTTCCTTTGACTCACCCTGGTCCCTGCCCTGACGAGATTGGATGTAAAGGCCAAGAGCAGATTAGGGTGGAGGACAGCCAGAATGCAGGGCGGGGCTTGCTTGTGAACCTGAGAAGACACCTTTTTTCTGACACTGGAAGGTAGGAATCCGGGAGTGTTTCTACCTGATGATACCGACTGCAGACTTGGGCTACATGTGTTATTGTGGCTGAGAAAAAAAGCCGTGGAACACAGGAATTGGCAAAATGGCTTTTGAGCGTAGTATTAAGGTCTTAGATCTCTTGAATCTTTTTTTTTTCGCCTTTATTTAGAAAATTTTCAAATAGAAAAATTGAAAGAATAGTGCAGTGAACATAGATCCAGCAATTAACATCTTTACATACTTGCTTTGACTCTTGTCTTTCTAAACAGTATATTTATATGTGTATTTTTTCCTCAGCTATTTGGAAGTAGGTTGCAGGTAGCATAATTTGCCCCTAAGTACATTTTGTCTGCATCTTTAAGAGCAAGGACACTTCTGTGTGATGGAAGACTGTTGTCACATCTGAGAAAACTATCAGTGATTTCCTAGCATTTTTCTGCAGTGGTTGAATCAGTCTATCATTCTGCCAGCATATAAAAGCTCCGCTGCTGTATCTGCTTGGTTAGGTCTGTCTTTACCTTCAGTCATCCCGGTGCATTTCTGGGCATAGCATGCTGGTTTGAATTTGCATTTTCCTGCACATCTTCACATATTTACTTTGAAAACCCTGTTCAAGTCTCCAGCTCATATTTCCATTGCGTTTTTCTTTTTCTTCTTGATTTGTAAGCATGCTCTGTATTTCTCCGTTGACCCTTTTGTCAGCCATGTGAATTGCAATATTTTCTGTCACTCTGTGGCTTGCCTTTTCACCTTCTTAACGGTGTCTTTTGATGATAATTGTAAAGTAGTTTATTCTCTATGGTGAGCTTTTGTGTGTGTATCTTGTTTTAAAAAATTTGTTTCTCCACCGAGGTTATGAGGATTTTTCTCCTCTGTTATTTTCCAGAAGCTTTATCATTTTGCCTTTCACATTTAGATTTAAATTTTTGCGTATGGTGTGAAGTAGTTTCATTTTTTCCCATGTGGGTGGTCATTCATCTCAACACTCCTGATTGAAAAGACTGTCCTTTAGCCAGGCTACACAGTAACACCTTTGTCATCAGTCAGGTAACCATGTTTCTGTGTCCATATAGTCTGTTCTCACGACAAACCACCCTGTCTTAATTACTCTTTATCATAACTCTTCATAAGTCTTCCCCTTGTTCTTCAAGGTGTCCTGGCTATTCTTAGCCTTTTGCCTTTCCAAATACATTTTAGAGTCAGTTTATCCGTTTACAACATAAAGCTTTTTTGGGATTTTGATTGGTATTGGATTGATAACAACAGACTAGTACGGAGAGAACTGACATTTTTATAAAATGGAATCTTCTAACCCATGAACATGATGTATGCCTTTGTTGATTTGGGTTTCTTTTTTTTCAGTAATGTTTTATAATTTTCTCCGGTTGTTTTTGATGCTGTCATAAATGGTATCTTTTGAATTCTTTTTTCTAACTGCCACTGTTATATAGAAATAGTTCATTTTTTCATAATCACCTTGTGTCCAGAAAACGGTAAGTTTTCTCAGTGAGTTTCTCACAAACTCATTTATGAATTCTGTGGCGTTTTGGGGGTGTTAACAGTGTGCACAATTGAACCTTACGTGCAAAGGACTGTTTTATTTTTGTTCTTTCTAATCCTAACACTTTTTATTTCCTTTTCTTGCCATCCTGCACTGGCTGGGGCCAGTTGAATAGAATGGAGATACCAGGCATCCTCATCTGGATCCTCTTCTCAATGGAAAGCTTTTAGCATTTCCCATCATGCAGTTTTGTACCAACTTTCAGATCCTAATTTACTATGAATTTTCCTCATGAATAAACTTTTTAACTTTAATGCGTTTTTGGCATATATTGAGGTGGTTGTGATTTTTCTCTTTTACTTTGTTAATGTAGTAAATAATAATGATTGACTTTTTGTTGTTAACCAACTTTGCAGTCCTGGAATAAACTCAAGTGGTAGGAATGTATTATCCTTTTTATACTTTGATACTCTTTGCTAATTATTTTGTTGCTTATTTTTTTGCAAATGCAGTGTCACAGGAGTGACACTGGCTTGTACTTAAGAAACTGTGCAAATAGTATAACAGTACTTTAACTTTCGTTTTCTGCATTTTGTCTGCAGGTTTCAAAAACTTTCAACAAACAAGTAACTCACGTTGTGTTCAAAGACGGGTACCAGAGCACCTGGGCCAAAGCGCAGAAGAGAGGGGTGAAGCTCGTCTCAGTGCTCTGGGTTGAAAAGTAAGTCGTTTCTTTTGTTTTTTTACCCTTAAGTTATCTAGTATTGGTAGAGTGTGGAGGTATTTTGCATGAATCACAGAACCAGATAAAGTTTGATTGCCATCTTTTCTCTGCCTCTTACTAGGGTCTTTTAACATCCTCAGTTTCCTGAGTCGCAAGATGGGTGTGGTATAACTCCTAGCCTGCCCAGAGGCCCTGAGAACGGGGTATGTGTGGTGTATTCAGGAAAAAATAAGGAAGCAGATTGTGTTAGTCTGCTAGGGCAGCTGTAACAGAATACCACAGACTGCAGACTTAAACAGCAGAAATTTATTTCTCACCGTTCTGGAGGCTAGGAGTCCAAGATGAAGGTGTCCACAGGGTTGGTTTCTTATGAGGCCTCCCCTTGGCTTGCTGATGGCCATCTTATTTCTGTGTCTTCACCTGGTTTGCGTGTTTCTTTGCCCTCATCTCTTCTTATAAGGACACGAGTCCCACTGGGTTAGGGCCCACCCCAGTGACTCATTTAACCTTCACTGTCTCTTTAAAGGCCCCATTTCCAACTACAGTCACGTCCTATGGTACTGGGGGGTTAGGACTTCATGTGAACTTGAGGGACACAATTGAGCCCATACAGGAGTGGTCAAGAGGAAGCTTAGGAGGAGGTTGAGGTCAGAGGTAGTGGGGTTTCAGATGATATAAATCGAGTTCCCTGAAATCCAGATGTAAAGGAGGCATACTGCTGCTTTTCTAGAAAACTAGAGTGAGTTTACATGAAAGCAGTGATGTAAAATATAAGGAAGGCATAGACTTTGGCTGTTGATGTGTAAGCTGCTCTAGAAGAATAAAGGCTATTAATTTAAAAAACTTTAACAGTAAGGCATGGCCATCGATTCCGTTTCTTTATCTTCTGTGGCCTGGGCGGTTTTGAAAACTCCAGCCTCACCCTTTTGTTTAAAATGAGATGTTCTTCATTTTGGATGTGACCTGTGCCCCGTGTTTAGACCCAGGTTATGGTTTCCCACCCAGAAGGCTCCATGAGTGAGGTGTGCCTACCCAGAGACCTGCAGTGTTCATCCGTATCTTAATTTTGGTCACCTGGCAAGGTGTTTGCTGCTTTTTCCACTGTGTAATGGCTGTTGTTTCCCTTGAGACTGATAAGCTACCTGTGGGAAGGCAATTTAAGATCATGCAGACATTCTGCTCCCCCTACCCCCCAGGTGTAGCGTCGGTGATGACTCTTGCCTGAACCAACCTTAACTCTGAATCTTACAAGACGACTCTTTTCCAAGTTCAGCACTTCCTCCTGTTTCCCCCGGCTGTGCCCAGCTGTGTACCATAGTAAAGAGCGTGCTCTTCTCCCACGCTGTTTGGTTAACCGATTAGTGTCAACTGCCGGGTTCCTGTAGTCTTCAGTGGCTTGTAGTTCATTCCTGTCTGTTTGGTGCTCAGATGGTTCAGATTTGGGTAGAGGGAGCCCCTTCAGCTGATTCTTGTGTCACTGTGACGTGTCCCATCTGACACCTTGTACCTGCTCTACCCCAGCCTTGGCGCCAGCCATTTCTGCAAAGACCGTGATTCCTTTGAGTGGGGAATAGTATCAGAGACTAAGATGTGGTGCTGGTGGGCTCGCGGCCAGGGAGTATCATGGCTTCTTGGCCTTTCGAGCAAAGGCGGGAAATATATTTGTTCCTTTCTTCCCTTTTCCTTCCCTACTTTGGATTATTTGATCTGTTAGTTTTTGAACTAAAACTCTTTCCATTCTCTTTTTTATTTTTAGTGATTGCTTTAGGGATTACAAAATGGATCCTTAACTTCTGAGTCTACTTAGATTTAATATTGTACCACTTCATATAAAATATAGAAACCTGGTAATTCTGCCCTGCCATCCTTTGTGTCACTGTTGTCATATGTATCACATCTATATGCATTACAAGCTCACAGGACAGTGTTGTCACTGTGCTTTCAGCAGTTGTCTGTATTTTAAGTAAACTAAGAGAAAAAATTCTCTCGTATTTATCTGTGTATTTATGCTTGCTCTTCATTTCTGAGGATCTGAGTGTCCTCTGGTCTTATTTCCTTTCAGTGTGAATTATGTTTGGTATTTCTTCTTTTTTTTAATTGAGATAAAGTCCACATACCATAAAACTCACCCTTTGAGTGTATAGTTCAGTGGTTTCTAATATATTCTGTTCACAAAGATTTGTAGCAGTTACCACTGCCTAATTCAGGAACATTTGTGTCACTCCAAAATAAGCTCCCTAGCCATTAGCAGTCACTCCCCACTGTCCCCTTAGCCCCACCCCCTGGCAACCACTAATCTGCTCTTTGTCTCTCTGAATTTGCTTGTTCTGGACATTTCATGTAAGTGTAATCGTACGATATGTGGCTTTTTATGTTCAGCTTCTTTCACTTGGCATATGTTTTAGAGGTTCATTCGTGTTGTAGCCTGTGTCAGTACTTTATTCCTTTGAGTGGCTGCATTATAAGGATGGACCATGTTTTGCTTATCTTCAGCAGGTGGACCTTTGGGTTATTTGCACTTTTTAGCTATTGAGAGTAATGCTGCTATGAACATTTGTGTACACGTTTTTGTGTGAATATATACTTTCAATCCTCTTGGATATATATGCACCTAGGAATGAAATTGATGAGTCGCATGGACACTGCTTGTTTAGCTTTTTGAGGAGCTGCCAAACTACTTTTTGGATCGGATGCATCATTTTACATTCCCACCAGTAATGTATGAGGGTTTTTATCCCTCTCTCATGTTTACAGGCATTGTCGTGAATGTGAAGTGGTATCTCACTGTAGTTTTGAACTGTATTTCCTTAATGAGCAGAGGTGTTGAGCCGCTTCTCGTGGTTTTACTGGCTTTTTGTATATCTGGAGAAATGTCATTCAAATACTTCATCCATCTTTTTTAAATTGGGTTATTTTTCTTGTTGAGTTGTAAGAGCTCTTTATCCTGGATATAATACCCTTATCAGATACAATATTTACAAACATTTTCTCCCTTTCTGTGGGTTATTTTTTCACTTTCTTGTTGATATCCTTTGAAGCACAGAAGTTTTAAAATTTTTCTTAAGTCCATTGTGTCTGTTTTTTTCATTTGTTGCTTGTGTTTTAAATGTCACAGCCTAGAAATCATTGCCTAATCCCAGGATGTAAAGATGTACACCTATGCTTTCTTCTCAGTTTTATAGTTTTATCCTTACATGTAGGTCTGCAGTTATACTTGAGTTAATTTTTGCACATGGTGTGAGGTAAGGCCTCACCTTCACTGTTTTGCATGTGGTTGTCCAGTTTTCCCAGCACTGTTTGTTGAATAGACTGTTCTTTCCCCATTCAATTGTCTTGGTACCCTTGCTGAAAATTAGTTGACCATAGATACATGGGTTTATATCTGGATTCTCAATTCTGTTTCATTGATCTGTGTGTATCTTTAGGCCAGCGCCACAGTCTTGATTCCTGTAGCTTTACCGTAAGCTTTGAAGTTGGGAAGTGTGACTCCTCCAATTTTGATTTTTCAAGATTGGTTGCCTCTTCCAATTCCCTTGCATTTCTGTATGAATTTTAGGATTAGCTTCAACTTCAGGGAGAATCAAAGGGCAACTAATATTTGATAGAGATTGCATTGAGTCTTTAATTAGGTAGGTGTTGCCATCTTAACAGTATTTAATCTTGCAATCCATGGCCATTGGATGTGTTTTCATTTTTTTGGCTGTCTAATATCTTTCAGTGATGCCTTGTAGTTTTCAGGGTGCAAACCTTACACCTCTTAGGTTAAATTTATTCATTTTTTTTCTTTTTGATGCTATTATAAATGGAATTGTTTCACTGTTTAGTTGTTAAAATATAGACATGTAACTGACTTTTGTATGTTGATCTTGTATTCTGCAAGTTTTCTGAACTTGTTTATTAGCTCAAAGTGTTTTTGTGATTTCCTTGGGATTTTCTGTATACAGTGTTGTGTAATCTGTATATAGAGATAGCTTTACTTCTTCCTTTCCAATCTGGATGCCGTATATTTCCTTTTCTTTTCTAATTGCCCTGACCCTAATCTCCAGCACGATGTTGGATAGAAGTGGTGAGAGTAACCATCCTTGTCTTGCTCCCAGTCTTCGGAGAAAAGCTTTCTGTGTTTCTTTATTAAGTGAGATGTTAACTTCGGATTTTTTTTTTTTTTATAGATGCCCTTTGTCAGGTTGAGGAAGTTTCCTTCTATTCTTAGTTTTTTTTTGTTTGTTTCGGTTTGTTTGTTTATCATTAAAGGATGTTGGATTTTGTCAAATTCTTTTTCTGCAATTATTGAAATATTCATGTGGGTTTTTTTTCATTCATTCCATTAATGTGGTGTATTAGATTGATTGATTTTATATGGTGAACCAATCTTGCATTCCTTGGATAAATCCTGCTTGGTTATGTTGTATACGTTTGTTTTTAATTGCTGGATCAATTTGCTAGTACTTTTATTTTTGCATCTGTATTCATAAGGGATATTGGTCAGTACTTGTGATGACTTTTTCTGGTTTTGATGTCAGGCAGTATTGGCATAGAATGAGTTGGGATGTGTTCTTCTGTCATTTGAAGTTTGTAAGAATTGATGTTGATTCTTCAAGCATTAGGTAGAACTTCAGTGAAGCCATCAGGGCCTGGGCTTGTTTTTGTGGGAAGGTTATTGATTACTAATTCAATCTCTTGTTATAGGTTTATTCACATTTTCTATTTCTTGAGTCAGTTTGAGTAGTTTGTGTCTTTCTAGGATGTGTTCACTTCATCTAGGTTGTCTAATTTGTTGGCATGTACTCGTTTGTAGTATTCTGTAATAATCCTTTTTATTTTGATAAGGTCAGTAGTGACCTTAAAAAAAAACCAAAGTCATTCTTGATTTTAGTAATCACTTCTTTTTGTCTTGATCAGTCTAAGCTAAAGGCTTGTCAATTTCACTGATCTTGTCAAAGAACCAACTTTTGGTTTGTTGATGTTTCTCCATTGTTTTTCTGTACTTTTTAAATTTC